GGCTGTCACTTAAGTGGCTGATCCTCCTCTTGTTAAAGTATCCAAGCACACCGCTTCCAGTCCTTAATGAGGTGTACGAGTGTGCTAACAGACCAGCAGTCAGCATGACCTGACCTCTGACCAGACGAGTGATCTTCCTGACCGGACAATACTGGCAAAGCCCAATATTGTCCTCACTGTTGGGGGGCGAACTTGAAAATCAACATCAAAAACACTTAAATTCGCAGCAAGGGAATATCTTGTGAAATTTAAATTTAATAGTGCGACTCGTTTAAAGTAAAAAGCCACACACACACACTATGCCTTCTGCTAATTGAAACTTGGTTGGTTTAACCTCTCGTGTGGACAGTAGACCAGCTGATACTGGTATCCAGTTCGAGTGGCCGAGGTCGCCATTGACTGTTCAGAAGTTTTAGGCTTCTAGTTATAGCTGTGGCACGCTTTTTTCTAATGCGGACCCTCTCGTATGCACCAGATGCAAGTCAAAATGCTCTCTAGAACGTGATAGTTCTGACGGACTTGTAAATCCATAAATATCTACCACTAAAACTTGGCGCAATGGCGATAGTGAGGTGTTTCTGGATCTTGTATCCGGATAAAGGAGAAAAAAAAGCCTTTACCGTCGTAATGTCACTCAGTGATAATTGTTCTTAGCAAGTGTCATCTTCAAATTGTCATCTAATCAAATTTTCAAATTGGCTAAATCTTATCAGTTTCACCGGAGGGTCATATTCTACACACTGGGAGAAACCTATTTTCAAGGGACACTGATGTATCAGTTGTTTTAAAAGTTCACGTCTGGAGCGAAAACGGATATTTAAGATCACTTAAATTATATCGGTCAACTCTGCAGGTAGAAACCAGAATTGGTAACTGGAAATACCTCGGAGCTTTGATTTGGGAAAATTACCTCAGCCATTGACACTGCAAAATGATCATAACGTGCAAAACTTTTTTTCAAGTTACGAAAGTTAAAAAAAAATACACAATATAAACCATCAATCAACACACCACTAAAACAAGAGTACAATTGAAGTTACTTCAAGAGAACACGAATTCACTTCGTTCTGGTGTGTTTCGATACTGCGAAGAACACCAGAGCAACTCACAGCCGGGCACCCACCACCACAGCTCTATAAACTTGGTCACAAAAGCGCAGGGAAATTCACTGCAGAAAGCAAGGGAAGTATCAGGAGAGAGCGCTAAGCCATTACGAATATATATCACTTGGAAGGAATCAGGTTAAGGATTTGGGATGGGACGAGGGGGGGGAATGAATATTGCCCAACGTATTGGACGGTCAGGGATTGAACGCCAACCTGCATGAAGCGAGACCATCGCTCTACCGTCCAGTTCAAGTGCATTGCAGAAGTACACACACACACACACATATATGCCCAGACGTAAGGCAGCCGCCCATCACGTGGGCCGCCACACCACCGCCTGGCAAAGCAAGCCACACGCAACAAAGATTACTGAACAACTCAGAGAAGTTACTAACACACAAAATATAATTCCACGAACCGGTATTATATAAGAGAAAAAATAAAATTATTTGCAGAAAAAAAAACATTCAAATACCAATTATAAAATCGATTAAAAGAACAAAAAAAGAATACGAAACCAATAAATAACTTAGGGCATACAGACTGAAATACAAAGATGAAAGTACAGCAGCTACCGAACACTCGGCACTCAGAGTAGCAGCACACCGAGAACTTCAACAAGATCTTGTTGATCTGAGGCAAAGTGAAACTGACACCAGTAATTCCATCTATCATCATACTATCATGCAAGAGGAGTCACACATCTATGGTTCACCCAATAAAATCAGCAGACTTCTAGATGTTACTACTGCTCGGCTTAGACTCGGTTACAAGTATCTTTGGGAATTTTCATTATCTGCCGATGTAGACCTGACCAAATGTAAACTGTGTCAACAAAATTATTCGCACACCCTCCGTCACTATGTGATGGAGTACGAAAAGATACGTGAATTCAGAGATAATTTTATAACCAATGTTCCAACGATGTGTAAATATTTCATTCAAAATTATCTGCTACCAGAAATTTTAGCCAAATATCCCGTTTGCTAATTGTAGGTAGTAACCGAGTGATTGTAACCTATCCACCGCTGCCCACTGGATGGGGGTGGGGGGGCGGTGTGCAGGACAAACATATCAATTGTGACACTAGCTCTCCACATATGTCAGTTGCTTAATTTAGAAACTGTACTTGTGGTCGATCTTGAACCCATTGTTGATGTGACAACTTATACTGAATTTTGTAGCTAGCTCATCAAGATTGTAAGCTGCTTAGCTAAATGAATTGTGGGGTTCAGTCCCTGAGCCCATTATGTGCCTCTGTAACCCTTTCCACTACCGCCCACAAGATGGGTATGGGGTGCACAATAAATGAACTAAAATAAACTTACTACATAAGGAACAACGCATATACACATGCGTAGATGGATGACGCACAAAACTCTCGGCCTGTTACACAACAACCTCACAAACACACCACAACCCCCCAAAAACACCACAACTCCCCCCTCCCCAAACGCACCACACACAAGTGTAACCCACACACCATAGAGACCAACAGCCACAAAGGGGAAGCACTAGTCACACTTCAGGACACCAGGACACCAACAAACCATACAGATGACAGGAGAACGTTAAACAAGGCTCCTCAACCCTAAGCAACACACTCCGCCCTAAACCATCTACGCCATTCTACAGTCAATTGACACGTGAGACAAACATGCGTCATGTATCTATATGGTACAGCAACGCCCACGGTACAGCAGCAAAAACAAAGAATCTCGACCATTCACCGGTACACAAACACGCCGTGTACCCGTTACTCCTGTATACGGTGAAACACCAGAGTACCCAAAACCGCCATTGACAAAGTAATAAGCCCTTTTGATAACTAATTGGGTAACGATGTAAAAAAAGTTAGTTACTTTTGCGCCAGCGTTTGTTTATTATAGGTAATTGCTCTATAATGGCCTCGTGTTCCTAGCTTTTAATCCTTAATTCCTACCCGTGGTGAGGGTTAGTACTATAGCTGTTCATCTTTAAGAAGTACAAGACATCCCAACTTTGTTCAACCAGTTCAATTTCAAATTATTATGAACACCCATACCCGTCCCGTGAGCGGTGGTGAAAAGTGTTACAGAGTCACTCTATTGGTGTTGCTTGGTAGCACTGGCTTCTGCTATGTCTTATTGAGACCGTACAGGCCAGTCCCATCTTCCGACAGTAGAATTATTAGCTTTCTACCCTGCTATTCCTATCAAAGTCCACCACAGTTGAAGCTGTAGAGTATTTGTTTAAAATAAGTTGTGGCCTTCCTCGAACTACCATTATAGGTAGAGGGAGAAACCGTTGGGTGACGGGCCCACATGCCTAAAACAAACAAGACAAACAAGACAAACAAGACAAACAAGACAAACAAGACAAACAAGACAAACAAGACACACAAGACACACAAGACACACAAGACACACAAGACACACAAGACACACAAGACACACAAGACACACAAGACACACAAGACACACAAGACACACAAGACACACAAGACACACAAGACACACAAGACACACAAGACACACAAGACACACAAGACACACAAAAACACACAAGACACACAAAAACACACAAAAACACACAAAAACACACAAAAACACACAAAAACACACACACACACACACACACACACACACAAAAACACACACACACACAGAGTTAAGCCCCTGCAAGCACAACTAGGCGATTACGTACACACCACACGCGCCCGCACGTACGTGTGCGCGCGTGTATCTTGTTTTAAGTATTAAAAGTATAGGCATCGTCATGAAGACTATACTATGTGTAAATAGTTTACCCAAATGCCGACCAGAAGCGTCACGACTTGTTACGTCACAACGTAACGAGATTAAACGTGAAAATACGTCACGAGCGTCCCATCCCTCGGGAGCTCACGACGCGCATTTCTCCAATTTCCCGGCGACCAAAAGTGCCTAATTTTCAGGGCGCAAATCCTCAAAAATTGAAACCGAAAAAACATCTTTTCCATTTTAAACCTCAGAAAATTATATTTGATTTAGCTATTTTGAGAAGGACGGGGGAGGTGGAGAGAACGAGAGAGAGAGAGAGAGACGCGGAGAGACAGTAGGCAGGATGAGACAGGAGGCAAGGAAGACAGGAGAGAAGGGAAGAAGCGAGGAGACAGTTGTGTTATTTATCCGAGGAGTTTTTAACTATGCGGTGAGCGAATTAACGGCAAGGGAAAATCCCAGTGATGGGAGGGGTGAGGAGAGCGAGGAAGGGAGAGGGGAAAAAAGTGCCCATCGAGTCAAAAATCCGAAATAAAGTCTAGTGGTAATTAAAGGAAACTCCAGCGACTGTTTCCCTGCGGCGTTCTGGAGGTGTAGAATGAGGGGCTACCATGGAGTAAGAACAGGGATACCATGGAAGAAAGGGAGGGATTGGTAACAGTGACACCCAAATGGGGTGCACGCACCAGAGGGGATGGGGACGAACGGAGGAGGAAGGGAATGGAAGGAAAGAAGGGAGGAGGGAGAGATAAGAGGGAAAATAGCACACAAAAGCAGTGCACATCACGGTGTTGGGTGCACCATAGAACAGCAGTAAATGCGTTTACAGCGAGTCAGGAATCTAGACACCAGGCGTGCACTCAGTGCTGGCCAGCTTAGTGCTCATGCAGTGCTGCTCAGCTTAGTGCTCACGCACTGCAATATTCAGTAAAATTAAGTAAAATTCACCACTTCAGTCAAATTCCACCCCTATTTCATGTGGGGTTTTGCATGTCAGTTTTAACAATATTAAAAGACACGCAATACAGCACAACATTACAGCTAAATTATGTAAAAGTCTTATCGTTACTACTCAAAACAGTATAGTTCTATGCAAATTATATATTTACAAACTACCATTTTATTCTTAAATAATAAATTCCAAAGACAACAGTTCATTTCTAAACTTTATTAAAATGTTTGAGCATAAAATATATAAAATGAGAGTACACAGCCTTAATTTATTTACTCCTAAATTATCTAGTAACGCTTTTAATAAAATTTAACACTGACAAACTTAGCTTCCTTGACAAAATTTCAGCTATAGTCCACCTTCATTTATTTGTAACATTAAAATTTATGGCACTGCACTAAAACTATTGGAATAGTGCTGTCATACACCAAATCTTCCAAGCACCGAAGATGTGTATTCATCTTGATACAGAAATGGTTTACGTCAATTATCTGGTCTATAACATGGAAATGAATATTCATATAATATATTTAGGGTTCATTATCCTCAAGGATATTATATGGTCAAGAAACCCATCTCTCGTGATCAAGGATCACTGCTGGGAGAAGTTGGTATGACGAGTCCACATCGCGAGACGACGACGTGGCCACGGACGCTGTTTAACACCGCCTTCTCTATGGTGTCCAGGTCGGTCACAGTTTCGCCAACCACGCCGTCAGCAGGCAAGCCATTACACTTGCCAGTACACACAATGAACCATGTAACTTCTCCCTCGCCGGGGTCTCCTGTAGCCACCACACCACGGCGACACAGTCCTCTCGATTTCTCCAAGTTTCCCGTCAGTAACTCTATCCAATGTTCATCTGAGCCTGCATAATAGCCCCCGATTACATAATAGCCTTCAGAGTGGCCGGAAACAATTGAAGAGCACTGTTGGAGCACCGTGTCGGTGTAGGAGGGTCCGAGGGTGCCCAGACACAGCGACAGGAACTGCTGGACGCGCCGAGTGCTGTCCGCCACATTGACAAATATCTTCCCCAAGCACCGTCCTCCAACACTGGCCTCCAGGAAAGCCATGGGCCGGGCTGGCAGCATGTTTACCAAATATCTCCACTGCAACAAAATATTCAAATTATAGCCGAATCATATTTCTCACACCAGTTACGTAGAAACTCACCATAACTACACTATAACCCTCATTTAATTCGTAGGCAAGAGTAACTATAGTACAGGATGTCAAAACTAAAAAGAAAGTTATTCTTGTATGTCTTAGACAAGAGTGTCCAAGATGAGTGTATCCAGCGAGTTAACGTCGACAAATGAAATACAAGGTAACCAATGAGTATAAACAAATTAACCAGTTAACCTTATGTGGCTCATAAACAAACTGACTAAACATTTTCCCTTTCCTGTTTAGACGACACTAAGGCCTAACTGGGAATTTGTTTAGGCCGGAGCAAGAGTTTATTATTGGTTAAAGATCCAATTCTCAAAAATTCAGCCGAGGTCGTTCGTGTTGTAAAGTAAGACTGCTTGCTGATATGTACTTTGCATCCGTGATCAATTTGCAATAATCGCAGTGAAGAGTAGTTAACTCACTGTAATGTGAGGAAAACGGTACTAGGAATGGGGGATGCTATTAATAGTAACCAAGTAATTACTAAAAACTTTTCCTATTCCTATTGGGATTATTTTCCTTTAAAGATTAGTAACTACTCTCGTGGAAATTAATAAATCGAGGCAAAGGACCTTTGAGTACACGTTACTTGCCTAAAATAACTAATGTCGTACTATTTTCCCAAAATATTAAAATCAACACAACCGATTCATTTTAATGTTAAGTAGTTCTAATGAAGACTTTTAAACATTTTTACTATAATAGACAAATTTTAGGTTAAAGGTGACATTCAGAACACCTCATTCCTGACAGTTATCACAATATCCATTAATCTGCAAACAATGTTTCAGAGCATCATTATAAAATTACCAGATTATCCATATTTCATAATAGAAACAAAATGGAAAGTTTCACTTAACAGGGAAAGTTCCGGCCACTTCTACCGGATTAAAACTAGCCAATACAAGTATGGAATAGTCAGTTCGCATTATGAAAGCCTACTCTCATAATGCTCATGTGAATTATATGTTCAACACGTTCACTAGAATTATAATTAAAGTTGCTACGATTCAAAGGCAAGTTTAGTACCTTGAGGTGCTTCCGGGGCTTAGCGTCCCCGCGGCCCGGTCGTCGACCAGGCCTAAAGGAAGTAGAGTGAAAGTAGAGTGTAGTAGAGTGAAAGGATGGCAGAAAAGACGCCAGTTTTGGCATTAGAGAAATGAACATTAGGAGCGTTTACAGCAGCTATCCGGGAGATGCATTTAAAACGTATATCGAAGCATTATCTGGAGTGCATATGCGCTAGCATTTTAACGGATCTTCCTCCACAGGCACTCAAGAAAATTGGAGAATAAACATAATTTATTCGAACTATTACTAGCTGCTGTGTTTAGCCCTGAACACAGCTCTTCGGGATAATTTACTACAAGGTAATAAAGATTTTGAGGTTTCTAAATTTAACTTTCTTCCGCTGTGTACGTTTGTGCCAGATCACGCAGTCTTATGTCGCCAAGGAGCAGTGTGACGAGCAGCATTGGAAGGAAGCGTGACACTTGTTACAGTTCTCAAAATGTTACGAGAAAAGTGTAGCAGTGGACGCAGACCACTCAGTGGACGCAGACCACTCAGTGGACGCAGACCACTCAGTGGACGCAGACCACTCAGTGGACGCAGACCACTCAGTGGACGCAGACCACTCAGTGGACGCAGACCACTCAGTGGACGCAGACCACTCAGTGGACGCAGACCACTCAGTGGACGCAGACCACTCAGTGGACGCAGACCACTCAAGTCTGCTGTGTAGGCGTTTCGGTAGAGGAACAAGACAATTTTTTAGGTTATAACTTCCGAGGGGGCTTACAAATTTGTTATTAGAAATCTAAAAATAGACGCACAGTAAAACGATATGATTGTTATACGCGGGATCATCGTAAGAGGAAACGAGTCGATTCATCAGTACCGTGGAGCACTTAAGAGCGCCAGCATGCGTTCTAAAATTCAGCCCTAAAAAGCCTTTTAGAGAATCGCCCCACAAATTGTCTCCAGTTGAAGTCTCTCAATAAACGGAGGGTCGAGGCGGGGAAAATCTATATGAAAATTAAATTCAAGGGAAAGAGGAACACTAGGTGGCACCTCTACAACAGTGTGTCCCACTTAGTGAGGAATACAAAGGCAATCAGGCCGAGGCTTAACAAAAGGTCAATGGCGGGGATAGTCGCAAGCAGGCGGCGCTGGTGGTATATTAAGGCAGCCTGTCCTCCTACAAAGATTATGGGCTCACCATAGCCCGTGCTACATGGACACTTCGGCCTGAGTAGTTAAATCTAAAAAACAATAACATCTTACAAAGAATGTCATTTTTTCGCTCGTATGAAAGTCAAGCAGAAAGATAAAAAATTGTCTAACTAGAAAATGGAAGCGGCTCGCGAAAGTTACGTAATATTTCCGTTTTCTGTTTTGGGTCCTCTGGTAGGTTAGGAGAGGACACTGTACATTGCCCATTTTTTTTAAGTTGGGGAAACCTTAGGAGGAGGATTAAGGAGGAGAGTGGGAGGAGCAGAGGGCAGCAGACAACATTAAAAGGGACGCCAATTATCTCCGCAAGAAACAGGATTAAGGATTATTAACAAAACTTTATAGAAAGATTGTCATTAATTTACATAAGAGATTTAATAATATAGTATATCGTAGCAAGAACTATATTGCCGTGGCAGCACAATTTAAATGTATTTACAGCAATACAAAACCATGAACATACCGGTATGACAAAGTCAGCAGGACAGTACTGGTTGGTGAAGGCGGAGACCAAGATCTTGCCATCCTCGTAAGTGACCTGCGCCCAGCGACCTTCGTGAATCGCACTCAGCCTCAGCGGTTGCCAGCCCACCGAGGCAGCACACAGTCCCATCATGCAGGGGAACCTCGGTCCAAACGGACGCGCTCTGGCAGGAGACATTTGCACCGCCGAAGCATTACGTCCTTCAGCACTGGAGTCTTCGTCGTCGTGTCTAGGCAAGCCGCAGGTATGAGCGAGTTTCTTAGCCAGAGTGAGTAGACGATCCTGCTGGTGTTCCCGCGCTAACATCGTCTCTATCCCAACACCGTGTGTGGCACAGGGTCTTTGCAAGCTCAAACTCTTCCAAAGAAGTTCAGACTCCAAATACACAATTTCTCTGTCAATCTTGAACGTGGTTAACAGTGAGGCTACCAACTCTTCTACCCTCGACTCTGACGAAGCTTTCAGGCCTTCAACAATACTGGCAATTTTATTCCTCTTCTCTTCCAAAACTTTACTCTTGTCGGCCTCAAACACACTGACGGGAACCACGTCGTGAGTTGCCTCGCGGTGGTCAGCCAGACACGCCCCACACCCCGCCACCTGGCAGCGCCGACACCAGCCCTTGAGACGTTCATGGTGGTAATGGCACATATCTGGCTGTGGAAGAGAAGCGCCTCTACGTTATAAACTGCGACCCATCCCCCACACCCAAGGCCGGGCCAAGGCCGGGCCAAGGCCGGGCCAAGGCCGGGCCAAGGCCGGGCCAAGGCCGGGCCAAGGCCGGGCCAAGGCCGGGCCAAGGCCGGGCCAAGGCCAGACTTTCCCTTCAGTTTTCCCCACTAGCTTCGGGTTTTCGTTTTTTATTTGTAAAAACCTTTTTAAACTATATTGCTTTGCATGCTAATCTGCTTTCTATATACTCGTGTATAACAGTGAGGCAAGGAATATAATCCTATTCCCTCTTTTACTCTCGCCTCTGTCTCCTTTATATCATACTTAAGACTGATCTGGTCTTTTACTACAAATATATGATACTATACTAACTTTTAGGCTTAAAGAAATCCAACAGGAGCCCCAATACCCTGGCATAGAGCCCCAGACACTAACCAACAGGAGTCCCAATACAGATAACCAATATCTTTAGTCGTGTCAAGACCTACCAACAATGCCATGTCCTTTTTTAATTCCTCCGATAAGTGTAGCAAGGAGAAGATGCAGGAAAGTTGTCTAGGATTGGTGTTGTGCAGGGTTCGACACACGGGGCAAGCGACGCCCTCGTTGGTCTGGAGTCTGACCAGACAGTTACGACAGAAGGTGTGGCCACAGGGTAGCGCCACTGGTTCGTGGGTGTCAGAGACGTACTGTTCCGAGCAGACGGAGCACGTCACCTCGTGCTCCATGAGGACCGCTGGCCGTACCTGTACCACATAACTTCACATTAAACGGCTGCCATATACAAACATGTTGGGCAGAGTTACACTAAGATAGTTAAATTCATACAATTGCATGTCGTATAGGTGTAAAATTCGCTATGCACAGTTCTCTGATAAAGATTAAGCAACCCAAGAGGTGGCACGGGCATGAATAGCCCGTAAACAATTCTCTCACTTCAGCAATGAGTGAAAATTATCTAAAATATAATCTTAAAACAGCACATTCGTGAACAAATGTGCCTCAGAATAGCGTCATTAAATCAAATCTTTTTATGTGAACTTTGAGTCCTTCGGGCTCAATTTGAGAGTGTCTCAGTCTTATTACATACAAGAACGTACGCCAAGTGTACGTTTAGTGTACGCCAAGAATCTATTAAGTTACCAATAGTCCGCACCGAAGAACAAGTCTATTATACATTCTAAGAAGCACCTCAATTGCAAAATACAATTGGCCTACTGTATAAAGTTTTTATGCTCAAGATTACTGCACATTACTCTTTTACAAGGAAGGTTTTACGGTGTAACCTGCTTCAGAGAGCAAGTCATAAAAATATTGATCATGGGTTACATGTAGTTACAACAGCCCTAACGATGTGATTACTAGGGGCCAGATTCACGAAAGCACTTACGAACGTGTACATCTTTCCTCAATCTTTGACGGCTTTGGTTACATTTATTAAACAGTTTACAAGCATGAAAACTTCCCATTCAACTATTATTGTTATAAACAGGCTCTTCGGCTCAGTTATTGTTATAAACAGGCTTCGGAGCTCATTAGCTGTTTAATAATTGGAAACAAAGCCGCCAAAGATTGAGAATAGATGTATAGGTTTGCAAGTGCTTGCGTAAGTGCTTTCGTGAACCTGGCCCCAGCCCAACAGCTCCCCGACTTGCGTGACCTGATAGTGGGTACAGCCCAATGGGGCGGGGCTTAGATAGCCATGCCGATCCCCCCGCCCCCCCCCCCCTCCCCCTCCTATGCACACTGCGCCACTCAACTCTATACAAGTGCATTTTTAATCGACATACGGGTAAACAAGTTGAAATAAGTCACATATTGCCAACTATCATTACACGTTAACCCAACGTAGTATAATCTTGCAGTGAAAGTCGACACTCAAATTATATACCTGATCTACACACCTGTCGCCGACAACCAAGACTGTCAGCAATTTTACACACACAAGTGAACATCACACGTGTAAAACAAACGAGTGCACACAGACATTTCACTCAAATCACTGAGAAATTAAAACTTCCCTCAAACACTTTACACAAATTCACTCAAAGCCCTCAAATTGTCCTCTCCCGCACACCCCCGCACACCCCCGCCACACACCCCGGCACTGCTCCCCGCCACACACCCCGCCACTGCTCCCCCCCCCCCTCCCACACGCATACTTCGACATACTAACGGACAAATTGACAAGACCAACACCACTGTCTTTGGCGATACACTCGGAAGATCCAGGAACACACAGAGATCAACACCTACACCCGCGCTACACACCCCCTGGTCCTTCACCTCACACCCCAGCACAAGGCTCCCTCCCAAGGCTGTGGACTTCCGAGTTTAGTTCTCAGTGCGTGTGAAGGCGCTCAGTTGTAAAGTAGAACAACCTTCACGAGGACTCGCCAGCACTTCGCTTCCGGAGCCTCGACCAGGCGACAAGTCAGCTGAAGCTCATGGCTCATACGCTCAAATATTCTCCATAATCTATTTTCCTGTCCACTTCCTCCCTTAAATAAGTAATATTTATACTCACAGGGCCCAGGGAGCCCATGAACTCTGCTTAGGACTGGGGATTTTTTTTAGTACTGTGGCGTTACCTATTAGGCGTTTTATTGAGGGATAAGTTTTTGACCCCCTACAGGGCTGCCACCAAGGTGTCCTGCAAGGATTTACTGTTGTCAGTCAAGTTAAGACTCACTGGATCTGGCTAGTAATAAAATGGGTGACAGCGGGTGCTTGGCATGAGGGTTACGTCAATTAATTACTCGGGTTTCATGTCCCCGACGACGGCGCATCACACCAACGGTCGTTAGCAACGTTAACGACACTACAGAATAATGCATACCAGAGGCCGATGCTTCAAACATTGCTACTTATAAGTCCATGTAATGTTTAGACGACACTAACTATTCAGTGTTGGTTCAGAACGATAACCCTAAAATGAGACTAACCTTGAGTAAGGAGCGGCAGCCGCAGCAACACTAGGAACACTAGCAGGCAGCTCCCACCTTGTAACCCGTGCCCAGGCTGTGTTCATTCCATCCAGCGGCCGACCCCATGACGCGTTCATCAATGTTAACATACTATGCATTAAAAATAGCTTTGTTCTCTTATTTAAATCAATATTATTATTATATTAATGTTCTGTGTGTAGTTAGGCATAGGTTAGGTAGGGGCTTAGGTTCCGTTGGCGATTATTTGTATTTAAAGTCAACCCGTCCTCACACTAGGCTGTTTAAAGCAGCGGCCGTCCTCCCCAGACTCATTCGTCAATTTTAACATACTGTGTATTAAAAGTTGGGTTGTTCTCATATATAAACTAATATTCTTATACATAAAAATTAAATGTATAATTAGGCACAGGTTAGGTTAAGTGTTAGGTTCTGTTGGTGATTATTTCTACTTGATCTACGTGGGTGAAGCATTTACAGCGTTGTGGTTCAAACAAAATTTGTCAGCGAAACACTTGTTCCGGAAGTGTTCAACACGTCATCAGTCCAGTCCTTCCTCCAAACAAAGACCCAAAGTCCATTCCATCCACCCGCCAAACCCCCCCTGTATATGAATGAAAAGCGGTTTACACACGACTCACAACTGCTGACATTCGAACATATCCGGAACAAGTGCTTCACTGCCGAATTTTGTTCGGAACACAACGCTGTAAATGCTTCACGCGCATACTACAAATACAAATATTCGCCAACAGAACCTAAACACCTAACCTAACCTCAGCCTAACTATACACACAATTCTAATACATAATAAAATAAATTTATATTTGAGAAAACGCCAGTTTTGAATACACAGTTTGTTAACATTGATGACGGCGTGGGTGGGGTCGACCGCAGCTGGGAAGACCGTAACTGGAAGAGAGAAAACAAATAATTGACAACAGAAACACCGTTAAACTTTTACAACTAACAGTATGAATGTGGTCTTGCTCTTCTCACAGAGAAAACAGGCCCTGTGCCCCCCCCCCCTAAAAAAAGGAAAATAGCCTAAAAAAAATCCAATAATTAGAAGGTCGACAACTGGAGATAATTCACATACCTCGGTGTAAGTATTAGCAGTGAAAGACTAAAATATCTAAAGACATTTGCTGGTAAACACGCAGGTATTTAATTTCAAATATTCCAGAATGTTCTCCATGTTGTTTATTATGTCCCAAATTGGCTGTCACACCCCACACTGTATATGTCTCCCCCCCCCCCCCTTCCCCCCCCCCTTCCCCCCCCTGGTACTGGGCTGAACACATAGCAAATCTTTCAAAATGAAGTCATGATGATCATGCCCGGGGCCCTCCACATACACCAGCATCATGCCCGAGGCCCTCCACATGCACCAGCATCATGCCCGGGGCCCTCCACATGCACCCGCATCATGCCCGGGGCCCTCCACATGCACCAGCACCATGCCCGGGGCCCTCCACATGCCCCAGCATCATGCCCGGGGCCCTCCACATGCCCCAGCATCATGCCCGGGGCCCTCCACATGCACCAGCATCATGCTCGGGGCCCTCCACATGCACCAGCATCATGCCCGGGGCCCTCCACATGCACCAGCACCATGCCCGGGGCCCTCCACATGCCCCAGCATCATGCCCGGGGCCCTCCACATGCCCCAGCATCATGCCCGGGGCCCTCCACATGCACCAGCACCATGCCCGGGGCCCTCCACATGCCCCAGCATCATGCCCGGGGCCCTCCACATGCACCAGCATCATGCCCGGGGCCTCCACATGCACCAGCATCATGCCCGGGGCCCTCCACATGCACCCGCATCATGCCCGGGGCCTCCACATGCACCAGCATCATGCCCGGGGCCCTCCACATGCACCAGCATCATGCCCGGGGCCCTCCACATACACCAGCATCATGCCTGGGGCCCTCCACATGCACCAGCATCATGCCCGGGGCCCTCCACATACACCAGCATCATGCCCGGGGCCCTCCACATGCACCAGCATCATGCACGGGGCCTCCACATGCACCAGCATCATGCCCGGGGCCCTCCACATGCACCAGCATCATGCCCGGGGCCCTCCACATGCACCAGCATCATGCCCGGGGCCCTCCACATGCACCAGCATCATGCCCGGGGCCCTCCACATGCACCAGCATCATGCCCGGGGCCCTCCACATGCACCAGCATCATGCCCGGGGCCCTCCACATACACCAGCATCATGCCCGGGGCCCTCCACATGCACCAGCATCATGCACGGGGCCCTCCACATGCACCAGCATCATGCCCGGGGCCCTCCACATGCACCAGCATCATGCCCGGGGCCTCCACATGCACCAGCATAATGCCCGGGGCCTCCACATGCACCAGCATCATGCCCGGGGCCCTCCACATGCACCAGCATCATGCCCGGGGCCCTCCACATGCACCAGCATCATGCCCGGGGCCTCCACATGCACCAGCATAATGCCCGGGGCCTCCACATGCACCAGCATCATGCCCGGGGCCTCCACATGCACCAGCATCATGCCCGGGGCCCTCCACATGCACCAGCATCATGCACGGGGCCTCCACATGCACCAGCCTCAGAGACAGTAGAAGCGCTGTGCCAACCTCATCAGATTGAACACTCACTAAGTCTGTGTTGTGTACCGGCTACCGATGTTCCTCTGCGTCCGTCGCCGTAAACAGTACAGAAAATACTGTTCAAAGCAACACATGATTATGTTGATTGCTGTTAATGTAATTTTGTTTACGTGTGCGTCTGGGGTTCGAACAGGTGTTATGGTGTAACTTGTGTCAGGGTGGGGAAGTAGGGTGCTCTGTAGTTCCCTGTGGTCACCTTGCTCCGCTCCCCGTTTCACACAATTCGAATATATAGTAAAATTAATTTATAGTCATGGGGGGAATATGGTATCCCACGGATAGTCTTGGGTACGCCCTAGGGTACGCCCTGATGTATGCCCTAGGGTATGCCCTGGGATGAGGGCGCGCTCCTGGCACGGGTGCAGGGTAAGGAGTGTGTGTGTGTGTGTACCCGGGTAAGGTGGACTTCACCTCACTCTGAGCGTGCCATTGATCCTCGGAGCTGTACACTGTAGGTAGCGAGGCTCGAATGGCAAGGAAAAGGTAGTTTGGTGAAAGGGGAGAGAGAGAGAGAGAGAGAGAGAGAGAGAGAGAGAGAGAGAGAGAGAGAGAGAGAGAGAGAGAGAGAGAGAGAGAGAGAAAGAGAGAGAGAAGAGGCTGGTAGGGAGAGGTAGATATAAATAGAAACCTCGCTTTCATACTCTTTTATACTCGAGAAGTTTGACCAAGTGATAATATACCCACCAATGGAGGAAGAGTATTCTTGTCTTGGTCTCGCCGGTCACAATATCTCCAGATCTTCTGGCTTCTTATTATACCTTCTCTTGAAATAATCTTGGGATTAGTCTCAACTAACCGCCAACTAGCTCATCCCACTCTCCAGTTAGGCCTATGCTGAGCATTCGAGACATTAACCTTCGGTGGGTTACACAATATATCTTGTATATTCCTCTGAGAATTTTGTCTGAGGAATAGACAAGATAGATAAGGATAAACTGTTTAACACGGGAGGGACGCGAACAAGGGGACACAGGTGGAAGCTGAGTACCCACATGAGCCACAGGGACGTAAGAAGGAACTTTCTCAGTGTCAGAGTAGTTAATAGATGGAATGCATTAGGCAGTAATGTGGTGGAGGCTGACTCCATACACAGATTTAAATGTAGATATGATAGAGCCCAGTAGGCGCAGGAACCTGTACACCAGTTGATTGACAGTTGAGACGCGGGCCGAAAGAGCACTGCTCTCACACACACACACACACAGGCCAATCCTGGAGTATGCAGCCCCAGCATGGAGTCCATATCTAGTCAAGGATAACACTAAACTGGAAAAGGTTCAAAGGTTTGCCACCAGACTAGTACCCGAGCTGAGAGGTATGAACTACGAGGAGAGACTACGGGAATTAAACCTCACTTCGCTGGAAGACAGAAGAGTTAGGGGGGACATGATCACCACATTCAAGATTCTGAAGGGAATTGATAGGGTAGATAAAGACAGTCTATTTAACACAAGGGGAACACGCACAAGGGGACACAGGTGGAAACTGAGTGCCCAAATGAGCCACAGAGATATTAGAAAAACCTTTTTTAGTGTCAGAGTGGTTGACAAATGGAATGCATTAGGCAGTGATGTGGTGGAGGCTGACTCCATACACAGTTTCAAGTGTAGATATGATAGAGCCCGATAGGCTCAGGAATCTGTACACCTGTTGTTTGACGGTTGAGAGGCGGGACCAAAGAGCCAGAGCTCAACCCCCGCAAACACAGCTAGGTGAGTACAACTAGGTGAGTACAACTAGGTGAGTACACACACACACACACACGCACACACACACACACACACACACACACACACACACACACACACACACACACACACACACACACACACACACACAACCCACGTACATACCCAACAAACAGATATCAGCAGGCGTGTGGGTAGATGTATTATTGAATGTAGGGCCGGGTTTAACTCACATATTTACTGTGTATTGTATGCATGTTGTATACATACAGAGCACCCCCGGGGTGTATTGTATACGTATGTATGAATGAGCTGTGCGGGATACCTACGTGTCTGAGGAAGCACAATATTTATTATTGAGTGTGTGTGTATGTGTGTGTGTGTGTGTGTGTGTGTGTGTGTGTGTGACAATAACACCACCACCGGCCGGGTGTCGCCTCCTGGTCCCCAGTCATCAGGACTATCCGTGTCCTCTTGACCAACGCCTCAAGCCACAGAATACTATAGATCAAGCTTCAGCTCCTGAGCCCCTGCTCTCCCA